AACTAAACGTAAAACAATAAACTACTAACCTAACCTTGTACGTAATTAACTAAACTAACGTACGTAGATTTTAGTTTAAAAGTTAAACGTATACTACTATATATATATATATATATATATATATATTGTCCTACCAGTCCACCTACGAAAACAATTGCAACACTTCGCAACAATGATACCATTAGATGTTCACTGGTTTCCATGGAGATACATGCAATCTGAGGAGAACAAGGGATCTGTTGGTCCATCTAGGGTCATCCCATCCATTATACTAAACTCTAAAATAAAAGTAACACACCCAAAATCAGCATTTATCATTCAAGTATTAATCATGCTTCCATTAAATTGACAGAATCTACCACGTCTGAAGGCAACCCATTCTAAAAGCAGCCATTCTCTTAGAAAAATAAAGCTGTCTTAGCTGAAGATAACTCCTATCCTGCCAAACTATATATTTGTTTTCCCTAGCCTTACCATTCTCACCATTAAGTACAACAAACATGATGTGTCAATATTGTCAATTCCCTTAACAATCTTAAATACCTCTTAAGTTTTTTTTTTCAAGAGAAAACAATTTCATAGATCTTACCCTATCCTTGTATGACAACCTATTCTAGTAGCCCTCCTCTGAATACTTTTCAACAATTCAATGCCCTTTCTAAGGTAAGGAGCCTATGACTGAACATAGTACTCCAAATGTAGTTTAACCCATGATCTATACAATGAAATAATATCCTCTTTAGACTTGTATTCATTATTTCTTTAGATACAACCTAAAATTATATTTGGTGTACCATTAGCAACAGCACATTGCTTGGATGGGTTAAGAGAGTGATCAACCAGAATACCAAGATTTTTTTCTTCAATAATACTCTTAGGGTTATTCACATCACATTTATACTCATAATTCAAATTGTGACATTCCCACACTCTTTACCTTGCATTTATTATAATTAAAAGCCATCTATCATTTTATCATCCAACTCACCAAATAATCCATATCCTCTTTTTAAAGCAGCATCCTCCTCATCACAGATGGAAACACCCAAAACGTTAATACCATCAGCAAATTTATAATTTATTGACATTTCCCTTATCTATGGCACTGAGATAAATAATAAAAAAAACAACAACAAAGGTCCTAACATAGGGTCCTGAGGTACCTCACTTGTGACATTAATCCAGTTTGACTTAACTCAGTTTTAACAATTCTCTGCCTTTCTTCCATTCAGTCAACCTATTTTCCACATCTACAGAGATATTTTTTTTAGCTAGCCTTTTATGTGGCACCTTGTCAAATGCTTTTTGAAAATCCATACACACCACATCCACACCTTACCCTCATCTACATAAGCAATAAAGTCTTCAAAGAATGTCAAAAGGCTAGTAAAACAAGATTTTTCCTTGGTGAAACCATGCTGACTATCCATCAAAATTTTTAACTTTATTAAATAACTTTGCAAAACTCCCTGTAGTTACTGGGACAATCTTGATCACCTCCATTGAAAAGAGGGGTAATAGTAGCTAATTTCCATTCTTCTGGCATCTGCTTACTGTTCAAGGACTTAGAAGAAATAATAACAAGTGGCTCACATATTCAACCCTTAACCTTCTTGAAAATTCTTGGATAGATATAATATGACCCAGGAGCTTTATCATCTTTTAAACTTCCCAGTTTTTCCTTAATGCTCAGACTTGTGGTTATTTTGTTCAGTACTTTTCTCATTTGTCAATGTTCAGGATGAGGGATAATGTTAAATCTGCATTAGTAAAAATTGAAGAAACAGTATAATTTAATAACCCTGGCATCCCACAATCATCAGATATTAGCCTTTCTGTATCATCCCTCTATGGCCCTATACCCTTCCTAACATTTTGCTTACCTTTAATGTATCTAAAGAAATTCTTACTATTAATTTTCCCCTTTTCAGCCAACCTTTTTTCATTCAGGTTTTTTGGTTTTGTAGTTTCCCATTTGACCAACTCTAGATCTTCTAGAACCCCCCCCCCAAAAAAAAAATCTATCATTGCAGTCAATTTAAACTTCTTAACTTTATAATGCTTTTCTTTAATTTTATCTTTATACCCTTTGTGAATGAACTTGGTTTTCTACTTTCAGCCACCCTTTTTTCTTCTTCAAGGAACATACTTATTTTGAATAATTAAGAATTTATTTTTAGAATTTTCTTTATTTGATCAGTTGTTTGTCTCAGAACAAAGCCACATTGGGCTATCTGCTGTGTCCACGGTGGTGAATCGAACCCCAGATTTTAGCATTGTAAGTCCATAAACTTACTGCTGTCCCACTGGCAAAACATTTAATCAGTATCTCTAATTAATCCAGTTGCTCAATTCACAGCAGATAATTCTTGTCCCATTCCTTCAAAATTTGCTTTTCCAAAACTTGGAACCAAAACTCATTATTCCTTAACTCCATATGCAGAGAAGCATCAAATCTAATTGCGTAATGATCACTGTAAATCATTTCTTTATTAGAAGTAACTATAACAGTAAATATAAGGTAGCATTGTTCCTAGTAGATTACCTAACCACTTTGTGAAGAAAACCATCCTGAACAGTTTCTAAAAAATGTGTCTCTCTCATGATTTGACTCTTTTAACATTTCCCATTCTATATGCCTGAAATTAAAATTTCCTCCCAAATTATAATCTCATTAACATCTGAATTTTGTATCTCACTGTAGTTTCTCATTAATTTCATCAATTTCATCTGGTGGTTTGTACAAATTCCAACTAAAAGAGGTTCAACCTAATTTACGTTAGCTTTAATATCCTCAACTTGAACAGGATGTCACTCACATTTTACATATGAAGCTACTCTTCCCCTATTTTTAGTACATTATCCCTATTAAACAACCTATAACCCTGTATTTCAAAGAAATTTCCCTCATAAAAAAATTTCTACATTTAACCAAGTTTCTGTTATTCCCATTATATCAAAATTTTCTGTTTTGACAAGTGCTCTGGTCATCCATTTTATTTCTTATACTTC